AAGGGCACAAAAATACTAAGCGGAAGTATATCAACCTTGATATATACAGGTGAATTCGTTGTACTAACTACAAACGTTGCTTTGTCGGGCATCAAAAACCAACTCTTCAGAGGTTGGCCCGTGGGCAAGATGAAGCTGCATACAAAAGTAGTGAAGACAAACTGAAGCCGACGATGTCACTACGGAACAGAGAGACTAGGGGATTTGGAACCAGGTAGTCATTTATGTGCAGAAAACTGCAGTGCAAACCTTGACTGAAGTTATAAAGATTTGGATGAAACTTATGCCCCGTGCTATAGTAGTAACCACGCCTCATGAAGCTCAACATACATTTTAAAACGTAAGGAATAGTTCAGGGGTTAGGGTTCCAAGATGCTTCCTTGGGAAGTGCATGGTTGTGTTTGCCTTTGTAGGCATTCCCTTATGGATGGCACAAGTATCTAGCCTATCAGAGAAGTCACTAATAATAATAATGATCACTTTATTCCGAACAATATGTTGGTACACTTAGAAACTTCAGGGACGACATATTGCCACAAAGCATATACACGTATGTATATACTCCTTTAAGACATTTCCCATAGTGTGAATGTCACAATTTATGAGAAGAACATTATCAGTAAGGGAAATCCTACGTTGTCAATTATTTGTTGCTGCGGAGTTGATAAGTGAGTCCTGTAATTACCGGAACTGTTATATGCTTGGAGCCCGTTGTCACCCACACCAGTGCTTTTCCTTAATTTGGCTGTCAACCTACGGGGCAGTGGGTCATAATGACTTCTGAAATGCGTGAGAGCGTATGATACTGAATGATTAAAACAATATAGAAAGGAGAGGTGTTATGCGATATATTTAGCAACAGGTCTCTTCTCGCGGATGCCCCAGTGACCAGTTATGATAACATGCCTGCTTCATTCTAAACCATAGTTATGCACGGAGCATGGAGTTCTCAGGACGCTACGTTGTACTTTTCCCCGTTGTAGAACACTTCAAATATCTGTCTACACTGGTGCTGCCTAACAATGCCTAGTAAAGACTAATAGGATTTTTTAAATGTTTGATATTTTTGGGGTCATGATAGCCCTTCAGTGTTGAAAATTTGGTCGGCAGTGACATGTCTAACATGACCTTCAGACGTTGCGAAAGCTAAATAAGGTATGGTTGGAACTTTGTGTGGTAGTGCGTGTATAGAGTTTAACATATTTGCTTCCTGTCTTCCTTGAGGACAGGTATGGAGGGAGGTGCGGGCGCAGTGGACGCTTGTCGTCAGGTAAAATATTTTCGGTCAGTAGTCTACAAGAGTTCATATGCCTATACACAACCTCAGTCATCAGCGCAGCTAGTGGCGTACCACTTGCTCAGCTGACAGCCCAAAGAACTTACAAAATGCAGCATAGTCTTCCTTCTGGAGAATAAGGGGAACTATCAGTAGGTATAGGCAGAACCCGCGAATCATTGAAACGTAAGAGTAGAGGGAGAATCGCTCCAGACAACCTGAGATTCTCTTTATAAAAGCGATGTAGTCTTTTGTAAACCAGTAAGATATGACGGTACCAAGAAGGGTCAGAGGGAAAGCATCAACCAAGATGAGCCACACTCGATACATTCTCCACAGTAGAGCAAGATAACAGACAAGAGACACAGGACTGAGGCAAGTTACAAGGGTCTAGTTCACGTCTTAAGCCAAGGTTAACCGTCTGAAACTTGGAGCAATTGAGCGTAGGGTCATTTGTGGAAGACCAGTGACCAACTTCACTCAAGAAGTTACTAAACCGAGAACAACCTGGAGAGCAGATGACTGACATGGGTGCTGTTGGGTCATCTCACATCTTACCTAACAAAGTTAGCTTTGGTTGGGGTTGGTAAGTCACTCAAGAAGAACCGGAGAAGAGAGGGAAAAAGAAGGTCACGTTCCAATAAGCAGCGGAGTACGGCGCTTCCCTCCGTGTGGAGTGTACTGTCTTCTCTCAGAAAAGTAGGAACCAAGCCAGTTTGCAGCCCAAGACTAAACGCGGTTTCTGGCAAGCTAGTCTAATGAGGGGGGGTCTAGGTACAGTCACGGGCGGATCTAACATACCTTTCACCCTTGTTCGGACTAGCAGTAAGACTATGACGTGAAACAATAACAGCATCTGAGGTACTACTTCTGGGTTTGCAGGTAAATCGCCCCGGATAGCCAAAAGCCCCGAATGGGGGTCCAGGCACACGAAGTAACAGTTTTCGTGTTATTTACAGGAATGCTGGGGTTATTGAGGTTGGTTGGAAAGTCACTTTTCTCCAAAAGATATGAACTCAGGTACCGAAACTATTTTAATCTCCTTCCAGACGGCTGGCATGTTGTTTCTGCACGAAACACATTAAAAGTGTTCTCGGATGGGTGATATGGAAGATCAGCACATTTTTTAAGAAGGATGCCCGGCGCGTTATTCGTTTCGAGGCTTTCAGAAGATTTTAATGATTTCAGGCAGCTGAACATCCATTTTACTGAATTTAGGAAAACCGCCTTCTGTTACGTGTGGGGAACTAGATAAGATAACATTAGTAGGTTTACACATGAATGACTAGTTTAGTGCACAGACGTTTCGCATGCTTCACGTCTGACTTTTCGTTGCCAGACAGATCACCGAAAGGTCTCCATATGCTAGAGGTGTTTTTACGTGACGTAACTATCCTGCTAGGCGTTAAAATTAAGGCTTTTTATCTAAGAGTTAATCAAGCAGTTAAGTCGTTTAACAGCACTATTATCCTTTGATTTGTACAGTTTTTCTTTTTCTCTTCGCAGTTTTTTTAAATTGCGGAAAAGAAAGTCTATCACACCTTAGGAAAACTGTTTCAGCCGGGCAGTAAGCATCAAGCCAAAGTTTAGGATAGCATGCAACAACAGCATTTGCGTCATACAGAGCATCATTTTAAAGTATTTCCGATTGTGTTCTGCGACACGCATCTGAGTTTATATATACTGTCTCATATAAAACTACGTGTAGTCTTCTTACATAGGTAGTTGAAAGTACCGTTCTGCAGTTTGCCGGGTAGTTTTGACAGAACATCCATGATAAAGTGATCTGGGCTCGGCAGCGGTGCCCGCTTTCGGGTTTTTAATATATTCCAGGTTCATTCACGAAGACAAAGTCTAATGTGGCATTAAAATGAGTTGCAAGATTGGCTAAGTCACCGTGACCAAGAGAATACAGGAAGTCGTAATCACAGGAGTTGAAATCCCCGCAGACAATAGATAATGAACTAGGTGTTATCATAGCAGCAAATTCCGTGGACTTGTCAAGGAGCCCGGATAATTTAGAAGACCTGCAACCAGGAGTGACATAAACACACATGATGTAAATGAATTCAAATTTATCTGAATGTTTTGGGCGACACTCAGCAGTCATACAGTCTGTAATGTCACTAAAATAGGCAAAATTCGTGTAATTCGATGAGCACCACTAAGTGTTGACAAAGGTAGCTACACATCCACCGCACTTTTCCGTAAAAATACATCGATCTCCGCAAAACACCATTCAACGAGACTAAATTGTCATCATGTAAGTTGTGCAACCAAGTTCCATATGGTGTTATTACACAAGCATTACGTCAGATACTAGAACGTTGGAGACATTGTAAGCAGTCTATTCTACCCAGTAGAGATCTGCAGTGCTAGCTGGGTATTTCGAGTAGTGTCATTTGATGTGGTTTGTCCGCTTTAAAGCGCGCTGCCATCCACTATGATGTCCTTTCTTTGTTATATAGCTATGGGTTGATAACTTCTCGGAAGTTCGTCTTGGTATTTGATGCGACTTACGGCTATAATTGAACAATTAGAATGGAGTAAACTTTATGCATTACATAGGATGGAAAAATTTGGCAACCCAGAGGTGGAGTCAAAAATGTCGGGAACAGTAAAACAAGCCATATTGTCACCAGTCTGAGATCACGCAATGGTAAAGTGAAGCATTGACGATAACTCTCAACCAAAAGAAAGACAAACGATTAGTGTTGAGTGAAAGAAGGCAAGCAGATCGCGAAATGATGTCACATGGATCAGAGTTAAAAGCTTAGTACCCATAGCAAGGGTAAAAATATTTAACTAACCAGCAGTACTGTCAACTGGAGTGCTCAGGAGAGATTCCCAAATTATTCATTTAGTCACACCCCGTAACAGTGGGATGCTTCTGGTCCAGCTGCTGGCAGTTTCTCCTTGGTTATCAGTGAAAGTTTTACTAATGTGTGATCATATATAATTTATGTGTAACGTTCACCTTCCTACGGAGTGAAAAAAGAATTAAGGAATGAAGTAACTTTCCAGATAATTCTGAGAAGGAAACGACACAAATAAGGCCAGTTCTTCGGGGATCTGAACAACATAGAAATATGGAACGACCTCGTATGATCACTATGGAAGTTAACAGGTGGGGACAATGTGATGATAAAGAATAAACACGAAGCGTTTTCTTCTTAATGAACAGATCAGTCATGCTAAAGTTGTACACCTTTGGCCGGTAAGGAAGGAAACATTTACATTGTAAGAACCAGTTTTGCGTGTGTCTTTGGTATCTGTGGATTAAAGTAAAACCAAAGTGATTTTAGCATGAAAACTGTGTTGGAGGCAAGTCCTTAGAGTAGGCAAGTGAAAGATATTGGTGGAATTTCCCTACCACTAAAAGGTTGGAATTATAACACTGTGTAGGGAAATCACAATCTAGTTTAGTGTTCTTCTTTTAACTGTGGGCATCTTGACTGTGTCAGACTTTCTTGTTATCATAGTGATACAGAGAGCGAAGTCGTGTTTTGGAGAACTTCAGCTGGCACACGTCGATTACTTCTGGATTGATCATCATGCCCTTCAAAGTTAATTTCAAGGATAAGATAAGGACTATTTTCAGTTAAAAATTTCTTCATGACACATGCTAACTGTGTCAGACTCAGAATACTTGACAAAATAAGTTCACATAAGAAACAAAGTGTGAGTGACATTTGCATCTGATTACTTGCACTTCTGAAGCGGCATATCTAAAGTCCTGTTAGGCGGGAGGTTGAGTTGAGGTACATGGTATTGGGTAGGTTTGTAGTCCAAGTTATTGCATATTCACCTGTCTTTGATTCGGTTACCAACTGAAGAAACTAGCAATAATCTCATTTGTTTTTCATCTTCTAGCAGTTCATTGCAAACTGACTGCCCTCCTCAAAAAAGTATATTTAACTACCGGATGTAGTTGTGGTTCTGTTTTTCGATTGTCTTCAGTTGATGTTTTTGTTTATGCCAGTGTACTTTACGTGCCTGTGATTGTCACTGCTCATAAGTAAGTGGTGTGATGTGGAAATTTTGAAGTTCCTAATTTCCACGTTCAATTCAAGCAGTTTTCCCTTATGTTACTATGGGTTGATTTATGTGACTGATAAGTGTTTAACATATGTTTGCTATCTGCTAACACCATTACGTCGTAGTCTTCCCCAAGCAACGAACGTTGCATGTTGCCTAGGTACACGAAGGTCTAAAGTGGCACTGAAAAACCCGCAGCTTTTATCAGGCGGAACATACAGCAAGGAGTTTCATAACATTAATAGTTTTCGCTGATCTTGCAGTGACCTCAGTGTTGGAGTTTGATCTTCACTTCCAAATCAAGTGAACGAGAGTAATTTGCGATGTTTTTGTTTAGGAGCTGGGTCATTATCCAACCTCATACCTTTCAATTCATTTTACTGCTGCTGATATGTAGACCCTTTAAATGAACTGAAAATGTCATCAATGGATGCTGAAGTAATATCGTAGAATGTTGTTTAGAAAGATAAGATAAAGCAACCTCAGGCCAACAACAAGTCGGATGGCCTTGACAAACCTATCAGGATTGATGAGTGTTCATGCATTTACATTCATCTGCACAGGCATCCTTCATTCGGTGACCTTTATAAAGAATCTGTAAGTCATTACTAGTTTCACTAAAATTCTCCGAAGTCTTCTTGAAAACTGGATGTAGTAGATATACATGTCACCATAGCACATACTTGCATCGCGACTAGCTCAACCTTTCGTCAATATCCTTATCAAAAGTTCTGGGGAAAACATCTGGTGAAACTATTCTGTTTCTGCTTTGCACTTTTGTCGGTCTACAACTTTTCATCTAGGTGGCATTTTAAACTTTTCTGATGTCACTGGTATTAGCTGAACTGACCAGCCATTTGCCGAATCATTTCTCGAGATTGTTCTTTGTCTTTGCCATGCCTATGTGATCTACATGACTGTATAAGTTGAATTTTCTTTCTATCCGTACTGACACATAGATTATGAAATAGTATGGATGTTCACACTTAGTTAAGGCTTTGTGAAGACAGTAGCTGACACAGTTCGAAACTGATCTTAGTAGCGTATGCACATCTACTGTTTTTCATACATTAAATATAGAACTTATTGTCACTTAATATCTACTTATCGAAGATATGTCGTTTGTACAAGTACTAAAACTTTGGGTGATGAGTCATGTGGTCTTATCCAGCTCATTCTAATAAAGCTCGGGCGGCTGAAAAGTGGTGATCGAACAGTTGTGTGGTACCATCGGTTTTAAAAGGCATGTTTTCATTGTTGTAGAGCATCATCAACATCAACATAGGACCAGGCATTACTGCGTAACGGTCCGAGTTACCATAGCTCATATCAGTACGTCAAGTAGAAAGGTAGTGAGGTGAAGGATGAGGATAAGAGAATGCAGTCGAAAGAAATATAAAGTACGAAAAGAAAGAAAAAAGGAATGACAAAATGGTGAGATTTGGTATGGCGTCGTTAAGATGAGGATAATGTGTGTTTACATCTGCGCCACTGGCATCGGTTCTAAGACATATCCCCTAGAGTCTCCAACCACTGGTTCCTCTTGTTCCGCGGACCCCAACCACCTAGTCTGCATAGCCTGACATGGCTCAAACCAACAGTCAAAGACTTCATACATTGGTGCCATGTTTTAGTCTGGCCACCTTAAGCCTTTTTCCAGCCTGGGCTGAACTACTTGCACCCGTGCATTGTGTGAACACATATAGGGGCTAACGTCGTATGGTTTGCAGAGGATATCCACATTAGTGCATATCGATCAGATCTATGACATTAAAAATTTTGTCCTCTTTCTACTAGCATTCATACAATCACCCAGGTATATAGAGTGGTAGAACTATTGAATTTCGCATTTTTTGAGCGAATTGCAGAGGAGCCTGATGTGCCCAATCAAGTTAAAGATAACTGTTTGGTTTCTCTGCAAAGCTTTGAACTACTAAAAGATCACTGGTTATAGATGTACTTCTGGACACCGTTGATGATACTTTTCGTTAAATCGAAGAGAATCCTTTCCCCTGTTATCATCTTACACCATTTACTAATTCGGAGGGTTTTTTTTTCATGTGCTTACATTCCCCATTGGGGACAAAATCTTATACACGAATTTTACACTTGATCCTGCTTTAAGATAAGGTTATATACCGTAAAACCTAGTCAGTCTTATGTCTTAAGGATAGTAGGCCGACTAGCCCGTATTAATCCTGATGATATGATCTCTGTGAAGACCCACTTTCTCCCTGTATGAGTTCGCCAAAGGAGTTGCTACGACAATTTCCGGCCATAGGTTCCAGTCGTTGACCATCTTGTGAGAGAATTAGAGTTCGGCTCATAGTTTATTCGACCGTGGCTTTTGAACCTTTTTGTGATGACCTCATGCATATTCACAATGATGATTAGATAGATCAACACCCAAATCAGTATTCCAGACACAAGGATCATATACGCTTTCCCCTTTTCCGACGATATGATAATAAGAAATGAGTTGGACCCTCCAACCACTTTTCGTAGGAAATTTGCGAATTCTGTCTCTGACTTACCCACCCTTATACCACCCAGAGTTTCTGCTCCTTGCTTGAAGTAAGAACTAGCTGCTTGTATGCAGGTGTGGTCTTAAATAAGTGAGATACATTGTCCTAAATATTTATTCATTAAAACACAAAGTGGATGTAGCATGCGGAATGTCTTAGGTGCAGTCGTGTCACAATATGTCTTCGTTTTTTAGTTATGGTTGATAGCACCTCCTGGTTCATTTTGTTCCCTAATGCAAGGTTATATTGACCTATCTTATGAGTTAGGGTAGTATGACTCTTGGTCAATATATATTACTGCATTTTTGTACTAAACACGAACAGAAACAGAAGAGGTCCTAGTATAGTGTTTTGAAGAACTCCAGTAGTGTTTTCCTGTAAGACAATATTCTGTTCACTGTGACACTGCCTCCTGTCTTACAGGCAGTCGTAAGACCGCTCTTGCATATTGTCTTTTATATGGAGACTCACGAACTTCAGCAAGCCCAAATGGGACGCTTACTCAAGTGCCTTACCAAAATCAGTAAACACTACACTAACCGGCAGTTTATCATCTTTTGCTTCCACCCATTCTCTGACTAAAGCTAGTTCGTCAGGCAGGAGCTTCCTAGCCGGTAGCCGTGTTTCTCCTGTGCCAATAGGCCAAGTGTTTCCATATAACCCAATCATTTCTCCCTGTTTATTTTCTTTAAAACTTACAAATATGCAGATCAAACTGACGAGCGATACTTAGTAACCAGTTGCTTATTAGTATCCTCTAAAAGTGTGGCATTGTGACATATTTCCACTCTCTAGATAACTGAGTGTCAGACAAAAGAAAACAATATATGTATATGTAAGCTGTTCATGGATAATGTCAGCCAAGATCAATAACAGCTTCGGGTGTGAACCCTTGGGACCCGATGACTTACTGGGCTTCGGGTTATTTGGTAAAACCTTTTTGAGAAGCACATACACTATTTCGAAATGCTGACTGGCAACTGATTAAGTTGATTTGAGCAACCTGTATGTTGTCGCACAGTAAAACTGTGTTATCAGCACACTTCGGGCCAAAAATTCTTTCATCTGGATAATCTGCACTCACCATTCACCTCTTCCAGAGCTGTCTCTAGAATCTTTGATGGCATAGTTAAGGAGAAGAGGGAGGATAAACAGTTCTTTCAAGCCCCACTGATGATTTGGAACGGCAAATAAGTGTAGTTCTGTGCTTTTACTCAATGGCGTATCAGCTACTCTACTTACAGTATCTATTATTGTCACTGTTTTCTGCTAGCAGTTTTATTTTAGAGATTATGGCAATTCGAAGCAATACAAGTTGGTACATAACTTTATATACCCGTTTACGAATCCTCACTTAGTTTCTTTTTTTGGCTAGTCGACTTAGCTGACTGAGTTATTTTTGATACTCTGCTTTGCGACTTTGCCGATGTAATGTGGAGTCAGTTTTCAGGTTTTTCAACCAAGATTTCCAGTGAATATCACATTAAAGAAACATTCACCTATGTGTTTAAGTAGTGTGTGGTCCGCTTTTGTTTGTCCATCATAGGGCGCGTTCAGACACACCTTATAAGCTGGCCAAATTTAGGAGCGCAAGCTGTCAGGGGTCGATAGAATTTCTCATCCTTCATGTGCTGATTCTTCAATTTTTGTCTGTATGTTATTCGGTCAAATCTGTCTATGCCTAGATCTGCTAGAAGTAATAAAACCAATCATATTTCATACTATTTAATTTTAAAATTGTTTTGCCATTTTCTCAGATTCGTAGTTAGTGTTTGGTTTTCAGTTATTGACTCATTCTCCAGTTGAGGATACATGACAAAAGTCCGGTACATATGAAGTGAGACTTATTTTCTGCTCAATAAGTTTTCAAGTGAAGTATTACTGATTATTGATAAGATGGAGTAACTCTTATTAGTTCCCTCTACCGAATAAATCTTTCTCCCTGGCACACTTGAGTAAATTATTTGATCCAAATGCGGATACAGACCAGCCATAAAGCATTATCTCGTATCAGCGCTAGGCATTTAAAATCCGTACATTCTGTGAGCGCTTTCACTGGATCCCATATTTACCTACTCTGCGTAAACTGGTTCTCCAGGTTGAAAGTTAGAGCCCATTAAAAACTATAGTGTTCAAGAAAGCCTTTTGTTGTCGCCTATTTTTAAATAAGAACTCAAAAGTCTAGATGAACTGTTAAATGATTGGGTCTGAACAATTATTGCACTGATATTTAGACTTACTGCCTTTTGTTACATTGTGAAAAGAATCTTACGAGTGACATTATACACCACGGAAATGTGTGAAAAGCTAATAATTTAGATTCTGGTTAGATCGCTTGTGTGAACAGTGTTGAGCAGATTAACAAGTTATAAAGTGAAAGTTGGTAATTATTTAAATTATTGATACCTTGTTTCGTATAACAATTCACATTGCATGACTTCTTTGCATTCAATTTTAGCTTAAACTGAAATTATACCTTCTAAATGTCTACTTTCCGAAGAATAGGCAAAAAGCTTGTTATGGTTGGAGCACTATCTGGTGTTGGTGCTGTATTCCTTCTTGAAGTTATCCCCAAAGTGAACGAGGCCAGAAGGATGAAGGTAAAGTAACTGCTATTTTTTACGGATGAAGTACCAAGCATGTTTCAGCATTCATGTGTCTTGTATGTAGATACTATAGACTATTTTAAAAACTTGTAACGTCCACGGATATAAAAAATACTCAGTAGACATTTGATTTAGATTCCTTCTAGATAAATATGTTATTTCAAGGCGACTTATCTATTCTATCCCCAACTAAAACACTGAAAGAAGTAAATCTCCAAGTAGATTTGGATTCCCTTGAGTTGGTTAGCGCATCTTACTGATAGTTACTGACGGTGAGGAAACGTAGATTTAGGTCAGTCTTCTGTTTTGGAATCTCGTACACTGAATTAAATTATCTCATATAACTTAGTGGCTTTATCCCATTCTTTTTTCCATATAAATAATTCAGCAAAAGAGGTTTCAGGATTGGTTTGGTTACATGACTATTTTTCTGTTGCGCTATTCAAGACTACTCTGTATAATTTCATGAATATCTATAAATATCTTGGATTTGGTATATGTGTACGGCGTTTTTGTTGAACGAAACTGCAGTAAAATGATTTGTACATATACGATATAGAAAGAAAGCCGGATGGAAAGTGAATAAAGAAATAAATGTCTTGAAGAGATTTCCTTCTGTAGTCTTTTGGTTACCTCTTTTAGATCAAGTACTCAAGCATCTTGATCAACTTATTCTGTCACTACTTTGGCTGTTGAGATTATGTATCACTTTTGAGGATGGTTATAATTATAAACATCCAAACTATAGTTATTACAAATGTCCCGGAAAAGGGTAAGGAGCGAGTTTGATTTAATCATTATAAGAATATATTTTAATATAATCCCAGTGTGTTTAGAAAATCAAGACAAGATATTTATATACGTTTCACTATGTAAGCCACAGCTTCTTCAGCAGAATATACGGATATTTTGTTTTGACTTTCTAAACACGCTGGGATTATATTAAAATACATTCTTATAATGATTTCAGAAATTGTTCACCTGATATGGTCAACGTGATAGGTAAAGTCACACATAGAAATGTTCATTTCACATCTGATCGGAAGTGATTTCAGCTATGTTGCAGTTTACTTGGTGGCTAGCAGTGGAGTCCAGGACGCCCGTTTCGTCTTATTTGGGACTCGTCAGCTGGATGCACCTGCATCTGTTCCAGTTATATTTACATTCCAACATTCAGATACATGATTATAAATTTCAGTTTGCATATTTCTCCCCTTATATTTACAGTTTAACCAGATTTTATTGGTTTTCGTACAGACATATCCACTCTTTGAAATGTTAAACTTTTGGTCTTGTTTTTTTCTCGCATTAAATAATGTACAATGTATGCATGTCTGTTGGACTTGCTTTGCACACTTAGGCTTTTGAGATGATCCCCTGATTTCAAACGTACCGCACTACTAGTTTCATTTGATGTAGCCAGTAATTTTAGTTAGGATTTTTTCTTGTCAAATACTAAAAAGAATCCTGTAAGTAACTACAGCTAAATCACTAGTCTATTAATATTCAGTCTGTTACAAAGAAATAAGAATACCAAGGGATTATTAACACCTCAGTTTAATTTCACGGAAACTACTAGTCTGTCTATCAAAGATGAAATAATAAATGAGGTTTTGCTTTCTTTTAGATCGCTTTACAATTTTTCCCTATCAATAAATCGAGTGTTTGTTACTTCTGATCACTGTTTCAGCATCTGACTATTATGTGTTACTGAACAACTACTTTATGCTTGTTTTTATGATGTTTTGTAAATTTCACTTCGTTTCTCTTCTAGGCCCTACAATCAAAACCTAAGCCTTCAAAAGAAGAAATTGAACGCTTTGAAAGGCCTTTACCAACACGTGATGAACAGTTGAAGCGTATGGCTTCAGGTGAAACTTTCGACGTTTTAATAATTGGTGGGGGAGCAACTGGTTCTGGTATCGCAGTCGATGCTGCATCTAGAGGTGAGTGTGAAGTTTGGATAATTTCAAGTCTTTGATGCATGTTCATGATTGAATTTTGAACATGAAAAGTTGTTCATGATTTGCTGCAAAACATTTCCACAGTTCCTTCTTTACATGCGTTTGATGTGCTTCTTTTCAAATTTGCGTATGAATTGATGAGTGCATCTATGAGTTTATAATGGTCACAAACTTTTCACGTTGAGCTAGTTTCGCCGAAATTTGATTATTAGGTATGAGTTTCAAGTTCATTTGCTTTCCTCACCAAATAACTGTATAAATAATACACTAAAGAAGTGAAAAGCCATAAGTTGTTAGATTGTTTCAAACTAGTCGATTGAACTGGTTATTTTGTTAAAATTATTGGTTCTAATGAAATAATTAGGACTGAGGAGCTACGAGCAAGCATTTCTGTGTCGCAAATAGTTTGAATTGCTTAGTTAAAGTGAGAATGTTGTTCATTTACAAACAGATTGAGTAGTTCAAAATCTTGTCTACAAATCAATTTCCCACTTTTCTAAATGGCAGTTAACTGTCATTCAGCTGATAAATATATCTGATCGCCAACATAGTTTTAGGATGTATACTTTGTTAGTAACCTAAGCATATAACAGATAATCAAAGACTTCATGAGTCGGTACCATTTCTTGGTCTGTTCACCCTTAGGTTTTTCCGACGTAATCCTACTTTAGATAACATTACACGTTGAAGTAGACGTCCGCTTAGCATGCGCAACACATGTGATTATATTTCTGGCAAACGAAATAGTTCTCTTACTGTCCATCTACCTTTGTTCAGGATGAAGGTTTACCCTCATTGTATCTATAAAAAGATTCGATCTATCGTTAAGCGTAAGTAAGTCATTAAATGTTAAACAAATCCTATGGAGGAAGTGGATATTCATGATTTATCAAGGGTAACGATTTTGAACAAGTTTTTAATGTTTCATTTGCTTAGGCACTCATTTTTCATCCTGCAGGTCAGTATCATTGACCCTAATGCAACAAGTTTAGTTTGTATATAGTTGCTGGATAACTGAACAATGTTTTCCATTGGAATTTTCAGTCTTTTTGAATAAAGTTACCAAGTCAATGACGCGTATTAATCCTTAAAATCAGTAGTGTTGTGGAGATTTGTTCTCGTTTTGAAAGTATTAAGACCAAGTGCAGATACTATATGCACTAGCAGGTTCAGTTTTCAATTCTGACCTCTAAGGCAAACAGTTTTGGACGGAAGAAATTAATAAGATACATTAACCCGTAAATCATTGTTCAAGATAAAATACGTTAAAATGAGATCACTTCTCATACTATGCTAAGACAGAGAAAAAAGAAAGATCTAATCGGTTCAGTATTTCTTCGTAAAAGAAGTTGAAGAGAGCCATTTGTTCATCTTGGTTTCTACTTACTAGACTAGACGGGAAGATTTTCTTTTTAGTTTCGTCCTTCAGTTCAGTTTCTGTTTTGGGTGTTGGTCTATCACCAACTTCTTTGAAGGTTTTGAACTTGATGTGGAAGGCAGGTTCCTTGCTCTAGATAGTGATGTGAACCTACATGTGCTCTCCTTCTTGATCTTGTGTCCAGTAGTCTGCGTCTCCACTTTCTTGAGATTGAGATGAAGTCGATCTAATTTTTAGTGTGTCCTGGTGTCTGGTGAAATCCATGTGGCTTAGTGGATATCCTTGTGCTTGAACACAGTGGCTCCAATCACCAAATAGTTGAATGCGCAGAGTTCTGCAAACAGTTCTCCATTCTCGTTCATCACCTCACCCAGCGCTTCTTGACCCATGGTTAGTTCTCTTCCTGTGTTATCTTATCCCAGTTTGGCATTCATGTCGCCCAGTAGAATGAATTTTGATATCGCCAACTGAGGTGGTGTCTTGTCCAGTGTTGATTGAAGTTGTCTGTAGAATTCCTCCTTTTTCTCTTGCTCTGCATTATTTGTGGATGCGTAGCATTGTATGATTGTGACCTTCCTTCCTTCTGAGTTGAACCTTGCTGTTATGATCCTGGAGGATATTGGTTCCCGCTGCATGAGAGAGAGCCTTCGGTGCTGTTGGGGACATCATGATAGCCACTCCCTCATTGTGCTCGTGGTTGTCGTCTGGGTGATCAGAGTAGATTATTGACTCCTCTCCAGATGATAGTTTGGAGAGTCCACTCCCATTCCATCTGCTTTCGCAAATTCCAAGCACTTCAATGTGATACCTGTTCATCTCGTTTGCGATCTGGGTTGCCTTGCTGGGTTCAAACATGGTGCGGACATTCCATGTCCCCACGTTTACTTTCGCTTTCATCGAGAGAAGACACATCGGCTCTACATATGTCGAGTATAAAATACGAAACACCTCATCAGTGCCCTGAATGGTCTCACAAAGAGATCACCCTAAATCAAGTTTATGTTTTAAGGTCATGACTAAGTATGACACTCAAGTATTTGTATTCAATAGCTTTGGACATAGCATGTAATTGATCAAGTAGTCACGCACTTTTTCGTGATCAATTTCTACGTTAATTTCTAGAGGCTACCTCATCGACAAATGAAATAGAGCATTTTAGTCGTCCTGTAGAAGCCCAGTTTCCTCATCACTGAATGACTCTCCAGTTTTGACATCTTTTACAAAAGTAACCCTTACACCTCAGAGGATGCTATAAAGGAAGAGTGTGCCACCATTCGTGATCTGCTTAGTAGGAATGGCTACCCAGACAAGTTTGTAACTAAGCTCATGAATATTAAGAGGGTTAAGACAACAATGCCAACTGTTCCTAAGAAGCAAATCTTCTTGAAGCTGGAATTTAAGAGTTACATTGCCAGTGATATCGTCACAACGCATAAAAGGAGTCTTGCATAAAGCATTCCCAGCCGCTAAGTTATGTCCCGCCTTCTATAACCTCCCGATTCTAGGTTCAAGAAATAAAGACAAACTGCCTGATTCGGCCACTTCTATGTACATTTATCAATTCAACTGCTCCTATGGAGCCAGTTACATTGAGCATACAATGAGGCAGTTCCATCGTCGAATTTCTGAGCACCACCCATCATAGTTGAACAAGGGACAAATTAGAACTATAAAGAGCCCCATACTTGCACACTTAGTTGACACAGGACATCAGGTGGTTGCTAGAAAAGCCTTCAAAATTACCCATCAGATTCCAATTAACTTACCTCATGGATTACGCACTCGATTACTTCACATAGCAGAGGCGATTGAAATCCACCTTTACAAACCTAGCTTTTGTATCCAAGAGAAGTTTGTTCGACCACTTTCATTACCGTGGCCCTCAACATGATGTAACTTCTAGGTTTACTTCGTACACCCCTTCCCTTTCTTGTTTCTATCAATATTCACTTAGTGTCTTATTATTACGTAATTGCTTGTTGTGAATGTCTGAACACATCAAAAGTCACTCCATTTACCGAAGAAAAGCTTGTTTCATATTTCTAATCTTAGTAACTTTATTGATTACTTACAACATTGTTTCCGAATATCACGTGATTGGTAATTTGATTAAATTGTAAAACTACATATATTAGTATTGAGCCTAAAATGAAGACCTAATTAAAAAGGAATATATTTCTTCGCTCAATCAGTCTTTTGCTCAATATATATGAGTAAACAGATGGAGTTGCAACTACTGGGATCGTAGCAGACATAGTTATGATCGTAAGGTTTGATGGAACTACATGGATAACACATTCACTGTGTTGAAATCAAAATATATCCTTGATTTTTTTACTCATATACTCTTGGTAGCAAATGCAATCCAGTAGTGTGCTGGATTGTAAAATTAAACGAAGAAAAGATGGTAATTTAGATACAACCGTCGATAGAAAATCAATACATTCCAGTAAATATTTAGATTTCATGGCAGCTTACCCAAAATTACTGGGAACGAGTTTAGTGACAGTATACAGTGACACACTATCAAACGATAAGGTGGGGCTGAGCAACAAACGTAAAATTTGATACAGACAGAGTGAGATATCGATTACCAAATCTTTGGTTATCATGTAAACACCCAATATATGTAACAGAAATAAAGTACTATAGCCATTAAAATCAAAGGATAATGAATGGGAGAACTATAAAAACTGGGCGTTAGATATTGTTCAACCGCCATGATATGGCTATAAGCAATAAATTGTACTCTATATTGTGTCACCATATGCTATACACTAAGTTAAAGTATACGATATTTGATACGTCGTCTAACTGCTACTCATAGATTAATGAAAATGGGAGACCTAGTTGTAATGGACAATTCGTTCACTTGGATTAAAAAGGGGAATTGCACCCAGGGTAAATACGTCGAGACGTTCCCCTCTTCACTGGTTTCCGTCAGGATAAAACCTCATTCCTTCTTACTGTCGTTCATTTATCTCAGAGAATTCCTCTACGCCCCAGTCCCTACGATCAATCCAATTTTTTTTTACAACTTTCTTTAAAAACCTAGGTGGCTTAACTTATCAAACGCTTGGTTGAAGTCACTGAATGTTATATCAGTTAGAATATTCATTTTTATGGCGGCTACGTAATCCCCTCTTGCAGTGATGAGGTTTGTCTAAAAATAGTAGCCGACCCTGAAGCTACGTTTCTCCTGAGTTAGGACCTTGTTCACTTTGACGTGCATAAGAATGGCACTATAGATAACCCTTTCCTCAAGCTCAAAAAGCACCATAAACTTTGGATAGGATTCCCGGTGAGGCTGGGATTAGGATTGCATTTAAACCTACAAACTCACTCAGAGATTAGCTTTATCGGCTTAACGATCCGATAGTTCCAATTAATAATGTAAAATAATCTGATCTACCAAATTTCATATAATGACTGTGAGGTCAAGTACATGGGTCCAACTAGCCGGTCGAGGTCAGTTAGATTAGCGGAACATAGGAATTTAGCTATGTATAGAATGACAGACCCGAATAAGATCAATAATCTAGAAAAACATTTGGCTATTCCGGTGCATGCAGTAACATACAATACGGTGGGATAAAACCACTCT